GTGGCCCGCCGAAGATTTGACTTTGACACCCCTGGTCTAGAAGGTCCCATCTAGAAGGTCTCTCTAAATCCATGACTCCGGTCGGATGCCGGCATCCCGTGGCGTATTTGTGCTTCTCTCCGAGAGATACGTACATTCACGACGCCGGATTCCCCCCTGTCCTGACGGTGAGATCAGATGACGAACCAAGCCTGAGACTCAATCTTCTCTCCTAGGGATCCTGCTGCCATCTTTGCGTACCATGTTACCTCTGCTTGATCTGCATGGAGTCTCGCGACACGAGTTCCACTGGGCGGTGCAGGATGCGCTGCGAGAGAGGCTCTTGCAGCAGATTGACACTTTGGGGAAGCAGGGCAATACGGCGAAACTGGAGGAGCTCCTGCAGAGGAGTTTTCCGGTGGTGAAGGTGAGGAACCGTGCTAGACCTTCCCGTGTCTTATGCATCGAATAAGAAGGGATCGCCCTCCGATATTGACAGATTTGGATGGATCGAGATTTCTGCACCAGGACCTTCCGGAGACAGCCGCTGAGACGAGGGAAACCTCTGCTCTGCTGCGGAGTGACGCCGAAAAGGATATGTCGATACGTATTGGGCAGATATAGCCAGAAACAGACTGCTGATTCTCTTGCTGTTCGATTGTAGTCAATGACTCGTGCTCCGAAATGAATGGAGAAACCGAGCGCATTTATTCGGAAAATATTCCCTGGAACAGGAAGACCCTATGCACATCGATTCGTATATTTGAAGGATGTCCTCATTCCAGGTGGATGCATTACGACCCATCGTCATGGCGATCCTGAAAAATCTCGAACACGTAGACGAACGCTTCTTGAAGCAGCTGGTCACCGATAAACAGTTGTATCAAGAAGCCGATGTCGGAGTCAAGCGTCAGATTTGGCTATATCATCAGAGTTTATTTGGCGAAGAGCTCGGACCACTCTTCGAACAGTACATGGCGGTGAGTGAAGCTCATCCGTCTGAGGATGGAGAATCTTCATAACGTCTTCACGCTCGGAATCGATTCACAGAGAATCGAATTTGGCCTTGACTTTCATCTGACCAATGCTGATAACGACGATGAAGTCTGATTGTGAGAGCCGTCCCGTCGAAGCAGATAGGGACTTGTATAATGGCGTCATGTTTGAAATCAATGAATAAGTCCTTATTCTCAGGAACGGGAAGCTGCCGTGTGGGATCTCGCCGAAGGCACAGCATCTTTTTATGGACCTACGCCAAAACAGCGTAGGCAGCAACCCATCGTGCAACAGCTTGTTACTATGGTGAGGAGGGTATCGGGGCGATTTTCAGCCATTCGAACTAAAATCTGACCTGGAATCGTGTACTACAATAAGTTATTCGAACAGGTCGGTCGCAACGTGGTCCTGTACGATATGGTCCTCCAATTCCTGAGGACTCTCTTCATTAAAACCAAAAGTGTTCATTATTGCACTCTCAGAGTCGAGCTATTAATGGCCCTACATGACGGTGATGTATGACAGTCCTATCATTGACGAATTGAACCTATGCGATGGCTCCAAGCTGTCTCTCATTGTTTCACAGAAGCACTATGCTGCCTTTATTCTCCCGAGTAATGAGCTTCAACCATTGTCAGATACAAGACATCACTCAGATTGACAGCTGTCATAAATTCGCTTGGTGCCTTGACGCCTGTGTCAGAGAAAGGACCATCGACGGCAAGCGCTCAAAAGAGCTCCAAGGATTCCTCGATGGAGTCAAGCCAGGCAACGAGCAAGTTCTCGGCGATATAGCCATGACCCTGGCGGATCCTCACGCGACAAACTTTTTGGTCACGTCGGCACTCAAGATCATTCAACATCTGATCAACAACGAGAATTTACCCAGGGCAAGTCTAGAGTCGAAATTCAGTACACTACAGCGTAATTCGGAATGCGTATATGAGGGACCGTGATTGCATCATCTGTGATCAATCTTGCTGAAAAATCTCAGAAACCGAAAGCGAACAAGTCCGACTTGGGCTATAATTAAAGCTTCCATTTCGTCTGCGAACTATCCAGCGCAAACCGGACGCAGATCCGGATTCGGAGGGGAATTTTCTATACCACGGAGAGTTTGCAGAATACACGGTATTCATTCCTCCCCCTATAGAATATTTGGACTGAACTGTTTGGAAAGGCATGCCATGGGTCTCAGCTCCGGTTTAAAAGTAGGCTCCACGGAAGATTTTTCTGGGAAGAGATTGAATATTCAATGTCGGCCTTCTGTTGGAGAGCATTCCTGTGAATCAATCCCCCAAGCAGTCAGGTCTCGGGTCCGACATGCGATGAAAGTCAGGATTCCCCCAAACAATTTATAGCACCCCGCATGGAAATCTCTTGTCAGACTAAGAGTCCGGGCTGGAGGCTGCAGTTTCCATAAGTGTATTCGAGAACATAGAAAGGGATCGGGCTGTGGCTATAGCGGCGCGTATAGTTGCGTATGGCGATGTTCGATGGAGCTCCGATCTCAGCTCAGGACCTCGAAGGAGCACTCCTGAAGAACTAATGTCTGATGCTCTCTCGTCGATTCTGGGAACGGATGGCGTATTTTCATCGTGCATGGTATCCGTGCGACTCCACTCACCGCTCTCGTTTTGTGCCCTCTCCAGCGAGAGTATTTTGAGTGGGAATTCTGGGAACAAGGCATTTCGCTCAAATAAATATAGTGACTCGAAGGGGGCGTCTCTGAGGCTCTACACCGCATGATTCTCCGACTTTTCGACCTTGATACAATGAAGATGAGATTCAGACCGCGAATGGGCTAGAATTTAATGAATTTCGATGTTGCAGGATCATCCAATCCTGATCCTGCTGCTGCGGCTCTTATCCCTCGGGCTCGACGCATTGCGAATGATGGAGAAGTCGGATTTCAAAGAACCGAAGCTCGATCCTCAAGTTGTAACGAAGTTCCTCCCGTCAATGATGTCGCTCATAGTCGACGACTTGGTTCGGTCTCTGAATTCCAAACTTCCGAAGGACGATCGTGAGACCGCCATCACGACAATCGAGCATCTCGGTCCACCGCCAGACGCTTATCAGGTCAGTGTGGTCGGCTCAGGAGTTGTCAACAGATTTTTCGACATTTTCCGAAGCGGGGGAGCATTCTGGTACTCTCGACTGAATCGTCAACTTACCCTTCAGGCCTACGTTAATGAGAGTGGCGTCGCCTGCATTCTGGCGTCCTACTATACTCTCCACACGGTGAAGTCACGCGACCGCACCGGCCTCATGCGAGTGCTGGGAGTTCTCTCCGGCGAGGCTTATGCGTACTCGGATGTGTTCCTCCACACTCTGGTCGGTTATCTGGTCACGTACATGCTCGAAGAGTTTTCACACGAGGATTTCTGCACGGTGATTTTCGACGAGTTCTTCCTGACCGCGCTGGCGAGGGAGAATGTTCTCCGACATCTTCTGCGGCTCATCTGGCATTCGTTCCCAAAACTCGCGGCTTCTAGACTGGATATGCTCATGAGTGCCCTCCAAACAATGTGTGCCGTGAGTATTTACAGCGTCAAAAAACGTCTTCCGCTACTGTATTATCGAATTATTAACACTTATTTCCATGTCCCCTTAGAGAGGATGATGGGGCGAATGGAAATTCGAGCTCTTAGTGATTCGATCTGTATGTTCCTCTGTCCTCAGGCAAGCACAACTTTGATGCCCCCGCTACTGAAATTGAAGGAGCGCATCTCAACTCAGCAAAGTGTAAGCGTACCACGGCCGCAAATTCCCCCCGATTCTCCGGTTTTCCAAGTACCATGTACACCCCATCACAGTTATTGAGCCGACTGAGCTGCTCGATTGAGGAAAACGAGCTCCTGCTGCGACCTTACGAAATTAAACCTGTATATAATTCCCCGATGCCTGCACGATTCCGCACCGCTTCTTTGAAAATCTGCCGATGATGCGCTGCTGATGGAGGGCTATATTGCTGTGAATATATTTGCGATTTTGAATGCGAATTCTCGTGGTGATCGCTTCCACGTCCTACACGACGTGAGGGAACGGGTGATGCTCCATCGATCGAATTTTAAGATAAAGAGCTCCGCTATATCGGACCGAGCAGAATTCTTAAATCATCAGAGGACGTGAGCTCACATTTTTTCCGATCCGTAAGCCTTCGCCGCTCTTAGCGGCCAAAGGAGGGGCAGAAAGAGAGCCAGAGCTAGATCGCCGATACCTACAATTTTGTGGAAGACGTCCGACTCGCGGACCAGGTTCGCTGAGTTAGTGAAACGAACTTGCTTGACGCGGGATACCTAAGGCTCGCCCGAGGTGTTTCAGCTTCGCGATACCTACTGCCTCCCAGAATCATCTTGATCTTGAATCCCGACAACCGTATCCTCCACGTAGACCAGGGGGATGGGACAAGAGAAACATTCTTTTCCGGATTTTCTGGTGGGATCGGGTTCAACTTGATGCTCACCGACGATCAGTGTCCCATCCATGCACGGCTGAGTCGAAACTTCGCGTGGATCTCTCGACGAGGATATGATACCGCATCGCCGTCTGGAAGATTCCTTCGGAGATTCCGTTTTCCGAAGATTTCAGAATATTGAGATTCGGCCTGATTACCACGATCAAATATAGTGGCTCATGCTTAATGCTTGTAAGACTGAGGCGGAGTCTCTCGCGGAACTATCAGCGAGAATATTGTACTGGATCCAAATTTGCCATGAAGATTCCTAGGGCGGAGAGAAACACTTCTCAGATTCAGATTCTTGTCGATGCTCACGATACATCAGAGAGCTTCATCCATGCACTGGACCCACAATCAGTCGAAATTCCTCGTGGATTTCTCAGCGAGGATGCGTCCTCGAGCCGGGATTAGGGCTCCTCCGGAAATGAAGTCGGAAACGGAGGGAAGATCATACCAAGATAGACATATGGGTGAGACGAATGGGTGATATCCCCGGCGTGCGAAACGTCGCCGTACACACTCGAAGGCTCCTTTCCAGTGTGTGTCTTCCAGAGTTGTTGCTGCATTCATAGCGCCTGCGATCCGCGGGCTTCAATCCGGAGCGCCGGGAGCGATCGAGTACTGAACCCTACCAACAGGGGACGAGGGAGGTCTACAAATGGCACGTACTCCTTCGGACTGCGCCCGATCATATCGGCGACTTCTTGACGCACGCTCGATACGCAACACGCTGCTCGCCGCCATCCTTTCGTGATTTTCGGTTCTGGTGAGAACAGAACGGTGATCGCGCGGTCCAAAGCGAGAAGCGAGCCAATAACTGACGCCTATAGAGGATTCCGCTTCCTTTGTCTAAGGGCTCTATCTTCAGCGTCTTAATCAGCGACGGACAGCCGAGTTCTCTAAGGTTTTCTGTCTGGTTGAGAAAATGATCGCCTGGCTCGCCCCCAGTCTCTGCCCGCTCCAACTTTTGTCCTATCGAGGCTCGCCCCAGAACCACCAAGAACCTGAAAGCCAGAACTCTGATCGAGGGGGAGCCCCGATTCCTCACCACGGAACTTTTCTCGGCGAGAGCAGTCGCTTCGGAGCTTCGTCCGCGGTACGTTTCTCCCTCATGTTCCGAGAATATCAGGGGTTAAGGATAGGCGAAATCAATTGTTCCTGCTGGTCGTTCATGGCTAGTACTGCTCGCTCCCAAATCAGAGCTCGGAGGAACTTAACATATCCCATGCGATGAGGAATGGCAAGGTTTCAGCGGCGTGTCCAGACAGGAGAGAAGGGGAGCAAGATTCCAACAGCATGTCTCTGGGATTAGGTACCAGTGAGGCCGTGGGCATTCGGTCATGATCCGAGGACCGCTGCGGAATTGCCCTCCCGTGCCTCAATGGATATACTCTTCAGAGGAAAGTCTTCGGCTCTCTTAGTCCCTTACGTCAATTTGATCCGATCTCCCAAGTCCCGGAGGGAGGCCTCCGAGAGTTCTCCCATAGCCCTCAGCGTTTCGAGTGCGACCGGCTGTACAATGAAACGATTTTCAAGCTCCTTATATTTAGAAAACTTGGTCTTCCCTGCCAGCTTAGACACCTCACCAGCAGCACGGACCGCGAGCGACCGGTGCGAGGGGGGCAACGTGCCCCATACCTCCGCATCCCAGACCAATGATCTACCTGCGATCAACGATCACACAGCAAAGCCGTCAGGATGGAGGGCAGAGTTAGGCGTGAGGCCCGTTGGCTCCGATTCATTCGGGACTTCCGCGGATCGAAAGGCGATGGAGATGTCGGCGTTAAGGGTTCCGTGACGGCCGCTTCTGCGCGGACAACTTGGATTGTGTTCACTCAGAGCAGAGACTGGACTAGTGTTATATATTTAGCGCATTTAGTACATGCATACGGGGTCCTCATTAGATACTTAGTTCACTTCTGTCACTCAGCTATTGGGGCCGATAGTGCTGCGCATGCATCCTGTTGACCGTCCCGATATCGCCCGGGCCTGACGACAGTTGCCGAAGCTCCTGATCGAAAGCGGCAACATCCTCGCGATACGAATCGCGAAATATTCGTATCAAGCTTGGTCCCAGGTATAAGCTGTGATCTCTGCTCTGACACGAGACATGGATGAACCTCGGAATAAGACAGCCGGGAGAATAACTAAACGCGACGTATCACCAGACCGAGTCGAATATCCTAATTCGGTATGACCATCTAGCTCGGCCGTGCCTCGCGCCGACTCGAATCTAGTGACCTTGACTCGACGTGACAAGGTTTTTCCTGTTTGGACTAATGGGGAAGTTTCTCTCTGGATTGGTATGTCGGAGACGGATTAATGATGCGTAGCCAGGAAGTCTCCGACCGGAACGTTTCCCGGAGCCCATTCTTAGTATGCCGATGCAAATCCTAAATTCAAGTGCCCGACTCCAAGCGATGAGCACGATTTCTGTCGAATGGCTATGATCTGCCAGATTCGGAACTTGCTCCCGATGATAACGAGCAGCCGTCCAGGTCCCTCGGAAAGTCCCCCGCACAGGAACAATTCCTTGCGTCAAAGAACACAACCACCAGGAGGCCAACAATGGAGAATCAGTAGGGCTGGGAAGTTGGCGCGATCGCGCCAAAAGGTATTTTCAGGCAATCCTCCATGGGAAGTCAATGGGGGGGGGGGTGAAAATTTCCGTGAATTTTCGGGGAAAATGCCATGAATTATTCCCAGCCTTAAGAATCAGTTTCCTCGAGTTTCTCGGCTTCGAAATGATCACCACACGTATACATTGAGGAGTGTCTCCGTGGAATTCGTGGACCGCATGATCTTGCGCACCTCAATCGCTCTCAGGAAAATCGGCGATTTCGATTCGGGGATAATTCGAACGTGGAAAGAGAGGGTTTGTCGACGCACCGACCATTACTCGGGAAGCTCACGCGCAGTTTCGGCCGGAGGCTTGTTTTGATTTCATCGCACTGCCACGGTGGCGAGAGCCCCTGGAGGGAGCCCGCATCTCGCTAAGGGAAAACTTTTTCCGTACCAGGCATGGGAAGTTTAACGTTTTCCTTGAGTCGGATAGCACCTTGCGAGGTTATGCCTCGTATACATGCATATTTCTTATGGTCCTCACCGGTGGCCTCTGCCTAAGACCCCGCGCTTCGGAAGTGTTGTCACCTTGTCCTGGACGATTCTTCGTATCACGCTAGGAGTAAACCAGCTGCTCCGAGGGAGAAGTCACGACAAAGCGCCCTGCTTGAGGAACGATGTCCTGGAGCTCACGGTGCCAACTCGAGTGAGCGAAGACTTTCCGTTTCTGCTCAGTTCACGGGGAAGGAACTTGCGAGCTTCGTGTCCGCATACTCCGAGTATTCCCCGGAAATACTGAGGGATATTTTCCGCGGGCGCCAATCACAAATTTTGGATTATTCAGGTGCTTTGGTCCGAGGAAGGGGGCCACTGGGATTCTGGCTGTGGAAGGAACTGACGCGACGGGTGCTCGAGTGGTCCGCCCGTTTGCCGTCTCTCGCGGAAAGGTGCTCTCCCCTTCGGGATGTGCCGCTCCCGCAGGAGCAGGCGTGGGCCCGATCGTTGCTGCCGGCAAAATATCCTGACGGGACTTCCTGACGGAAGAGCGGTACTTCGGCCCCGATCCATGTGGATTCCTGACTAAATCGAATATTCGAGATTTCTATATTGAGCATACAGGAATGTCACTGACCACAAGGGGAACCGCTCCGCATAACGAGGTGGCTGGCTCGCGTCATGGAACGGAAGAGTCCTGTGGCACGAAGATCATCGCCAATGAGCTCCAGACGGTTCCCTAGATTCACCAGCGGTGAAGGATCCCCGCGCCGCATAGTACAGTGATGGCTGAGTCGCTAAGGGATCGAAGAATTTTAGAGTAAACCTTGAGGAAACGCAACAAGGATCGGTCTCCGTTGATATCGAGCATGATCAGGAACGGTAAACACCGGGCTTGAGTAGGCTCCGGTGCTGTCGCGGCTGATGACGGTGTGGGAGCGAAACGATATCGCTGACTGTTTGTCGCACAAAAACACCCAGAGCTAGAAAAGTGCGGCCCTCTGGGCGCAAATCGCGTGAACTCAGTTGACGTGTACGGGCTTCACCGGCCGGTGACGGGCCGACGCGCAACTGGGCGCTGCATTATTAGTGAGGACGAGCGAGCTCGATCCCCCGAGGAGCGGAACCAGGGGATACTCTGATGTTGAGCATGCCGGATTTTCGTGTCTGGATGCGACGAATCGATAGAATGGCATGCAGTAATCGCGTACCGAAGGAAACATACGGCTATCTATCAGCTATGGCCGGCGATCGAGGCCGGATTCTCGGTTCACAATCAGGGATTCGAGATAGGACCTGGAAGCCAATCGCGTGTAGGGGACCTCCGGCCAAGACAAAGAGACTCTCGCTCCGAATACACAATTTACGAGAGGATCATCTCAAACCCCTAGAGCATATTACCGCTGGTTAGGGACGAGTTCCGAGGAGTTACGTCGTCAGTCGTCACCCAATGATCACTCTAGCGGAATGGTCGCCGATGGTTGTCCACTATAATTCCGATGCTTGCGTCCACAGAAAGATGGTTGAAAGCGGATCCGTGAGCGTCGAATACCTTTTAAAACACATAGAGTGCCACCGGCTGGAATTTTCCGGTTTCCCGGGAGAACTGAGGGACGCCGGCGTCCCTCAGTGGCACTCAATGGTTGAGGATCGCGGTCGTCGTACCCGCTAGGTGATCCTACCGAGACAGAGATTATCGCAGAACCTCATTCGCTGTTTGGAAATCTCCAGATTCTCGGCCCTTTGCGTGTTTGGAACTTCGACTTGCCGCTCTCCTGGTTTCCCGGCCCCCTCCCGATATGGTTCCGTAGGTGCGATAGGTCCATAAGCTTGTGCGGAGCTTCCATCACGGGGCGCGCTATTCAAGGTCAATTTATAGGGTCGAGCGAGATGTCCGAAAGATGACTCCTCCTGTGAAGGCTTCGAGCGAAAATCACCTATCAGACCTGGAAGTCGCCCCGTGCATCCAATGGGCTCCTTGGTCATTGATTGTCTCTGTTAGAAGTTAGAATGGTGCTCCTCAACAACCGCGGGAATCACAGAAACATTCGACTGCGGCCCTGCTTCAACCGACGCAAAGACCTCGTCGCGGCATCCTCCGAAGTACCCACCCACGGCCTCGGATGCCTCAAGGGTACCGCGATATCTTCGTCGCGAGATGTCCACGCCGCGACAAATTCTCAGCCCTAACTATGATCTTGAAGATGACACAGCCGCATTTGCAGTGGCGCTGATGACTCACCTTCGTCTTTGAGCAGATTTCCACTGAGAGGATTTTGGAAGTGGAAACTTCCAAAGGCGCCTCGCCGGAACGCGTTCAGACGGAGGAATCGACAGCTCTGAAGGATATCGGAGGTGAATGGGGACGCGAATTGCGCATGGTGGAAGTTCCTTGCTTCATTCAATTGGAATTCCTCAGCATTCATTTAGTTGAAGGGTGCCACAGTGCGCTTGACAGGGACCGATAGTTTCGGTAAGGTCATCCTTTCCATCTCATGCTGGTTGTATGGAGCGAAACAAACAATGAAGTATGATATGATTCCGCGCGCGAATGCCGAGTGCCGAGTGCATTCCATAAATTATAATGTCAACAAGCGCTTTCGATGTAATCCAATCGTAACCAATTCCAACCCGTTGGAAGGCTGCTTGACAGATGGTCGCTATTGATACCGATAAACATGTTCAGTGACTTGCTAATGGAACAGACTTCGATCGAAGATTAGGGTGAAGCTCGGTGCTATGCTCCGACACCACTTATTCGACAACTGAACTCTCTACGCCCCGGAAGCCGATGCAGCCGGCCCGAGGCCGCGAGATTCGCGGTCTTCTATGTTGATCTAGCATAGAAGTCGATGGAGTCGATCGACGGTCATCGGTGAATATAAGAGAATCACCCAATGCTTGGTCTGAAGTCTTAAATCCTCCGCATCTCCCGAGACAATAATCGAAGAATCGTGCACTACAACGGGAGCAGGAAGAGGATCCGCCAAATAACCTGACCATTCTAGAGGTGGAGATTCACGCTTGTTCTATCGTATCATGCAACAACGAAATGCCAGAGTTCAGGCCTAGAGATGTGATCCACAGGGAGAGTCCTTACTGTGTAGTTGTCGACGATGGGGTGCTCGATAGGATCTGCTCCTATTGTCTCTATTGGAAAGAGGTCGAGCCCTGCGAATGTCTCCTAGTATTTTACTGTTCCAACTTCTGCAAGGTTTGAAGAGCCTCTTCTGGTGATTCCTCCTCTCGATATCACATTCTCCAAATAGCGTTCCGTTTTGTAGCTGCAGGACGCAAGGGACCATGAGATCGAATGTCTACTGAGTCGGACGCGTGGGAGGGAATCCCTCCTCGACGACGAAGTCCGACTGGTTGTACGAGCTCTCGCGAAGAACTTCCGCGAAGAGAGGATCGGTTCCGTCTCGGAGGGGAATTTCTATGGCAGTCGGCGGTCGATATCCGACTTGGAAACTCACCTGGAAGATCTATCAGAAGATGACCGGCTCGAGGTCCAGGAGAAGGCTCAGAGAATCGCTTCTCTCATGAGAGCCTTCACAAACACAGAGGTCCACGAGGTGGCTCTGATGTTGCAAAGGTTACGAATCAATATGTTCCAGCTGTCGGACCACAGAGCGGTGACTAAAGGAATCGCATGTTACCTTGGAATTTCTGTTGTGGATCATACTTGCGAGGATTCTGGAAACTTTGTGTTGGCCTTCAAAGGAAGAGAAATCATCTTGAGGGCATTGAAGAACTTCACCGTGCAAGATATGGGAGACTTTCGCATAAACTACATCGATGCGACGATTCCCACCGAAGAGCGACGCAGAGCTCTTCTGGCAGGCTATTTCTTCGCCTGTCAGTGTGCGAAATGTCTCGCAGAATCAACTCGTGCTGTCAATTCGAGCCCCCCGTCGGTGGAACACGGAGGATTACTCCACGAGCTGGACGCCTTGTTCTTGTCTGGATGCAGCGACCGGGAGATGTTCCGCGCAGCCAAGAATTTAATGGAGAGGATTGAACTCTCGAATTATCCGACGGATTACCACCGTGATCTCTGTTTTCAGATACAAAGCGCTGCGCTCGCTCTCGGCCGCTATGAGGAAAGTATCCGATACGGACTGATGGCTGTCGGAGGAACCGAAAACCTGTACCGGTTAGAGTGTGCGATGGTTTCACTCTGTGAGGCGATGCAAGCTCTGGGATGGAATCACTTCTCCCATCCATTGCACAAACAATCACGTAGGGTTTCGCGTTATACCGTTAAGCTGCTTAGATCTATCTACGGCGACGACTACATCGTAATCAACGAAATGAAAAAGATGGATTGGCTCGGCGAAGGCAATATGCCAAGCTTGGATGGAGTGCAGGGGGGAGTCGAAGGGAACGGAGAGGAGGAAGAAGAGACCTCAGGAGAAACTCGATGAAGTAAATCGAGCAATGCAACGAATCAGGCATGATGATACATTTTCTGAGGAGAGCTCCTGAATCAACAAGATTTCCGCGTTTTCCTTCTCTCCCTTGCTGTTCGCGGGAACTGATCGTCGGCGACGCCAGAACCTTGGGGAACTTGATTCTTTGTTGCCCAGATCGGAGCACTTCACCGGAAATGGTTCGCACAGTTCCACTTCTATAGTCGGTAGTCTGAGCTTGGCTGAACCGGGCCCATGAATTTGCCTGCAAATCCGAGCCAGCCTCCTTCCTCTATAATTCCAACGAATCCTACCACGACACGCTATCATAGTCCGAAAGGAAATGAAGCGAGCGAGAAGTGAACTTGTTCTGAAAATAGTTTTTCTTCTGGTGGTGCAGGCACTCACAGCCGATCGGGTGACTAACTTACTCGCTAACTCATTCGGATGGTTTTGTTTTCCACCGGGAATTGTTACACATTTCCGTGAAGAGCTAATTCCTACCTTTTCTGTGGTGATAGCAGGATAAGTACGGCGCGGAGCGTTTCCGAGCCAGCCAGCCGGCTAGCTCACTAAGTACTTCACTGCATCGATTCAAAGTAGAATTGGAGTGCCCCTTGAGATGTTCCTGAGACTCCAGAGGTCAACTTCTCTTAGTCATTCCCTCAGCAGATCGAGGCGACGGGGAAGTGAATTGGTCAATGGGAACATGAACAATCATGAATAGCAACGTCTCCGACTCGGCGGGAGACCCATCAGAGAGACAATAGGCAAATGTCACGGACGATTCCCTCGCTCAGGAATGAGGCGATTCACATATCTTGTAGGGAGCTTCGACTTATTCTTTCGATCTGCTTGATGATGTGCATTCATTGTGTCTACTCTCCAGAGGCAAGGTAGATACATATGGAACGAGAGTCCCGGGAAAGTCCTCAGCCTCGAATAATCTATAGGGGAGGGCTCTTTCTTGTGATTCGCCGAGCGCTCGAAAATTCTTTCGAAACTCTAGATATCAGGCGGATATTTACCACACAGAACAAGAATGGAGCCCTCAGTTCTGGAAACTAGAGCCAACCAACGGAACTCAAGCGTTGCCCTCTCTGAAATGTCTGAAAACCACACAAAGGACCGGAAAAACATTTGGAAAGCACTCGGGAGAAATTCTGGCTGGCAGGCGAGGCTCCTGCCGTATCTCCGCTGTTCATCTGGCCGGCGCTTGGAAAGTCATGTATTTTTGTCTGTAGCTTGCCTAATCTCTGACGTGGATATACTCCATTCGTCCGAGGAACGACCGATGACAATTTAAAACGTCAGACGAGCACGAGAGTGATTCTCAATGATGATCTCTCCCACCGCAAAAGCCCAGAGGAAAATATTGGAAGACTCGTGGCAATAGACCACTGATGGGATGAATGATTACCGAACGGCCTTATCGGCCACGGCGAGGAATCATAGTGGCACCGTATTCCAGCCTGGAAGCGGAGACGCCCGCGCAAAGAAATCATCTTGTCCAACTAGTAATTCGAGAGTCGTCTTTTGTTCAACTTCCCTTGCGAGAGAATATCAATGATCCAGCCGCGGAAATAATTCAAGAACTTGCGTCAAAATATTACCCCCATATGATTTACAATTATATTCATGATGATCGAGTCGGCTCCGACGCAATCGGGTGGCACACTATCTCGACGTGGGGGAAATCCTATTTTGTCGAGCCCGATAGAAACCGTGCAGCCGACAGTTCCGAGTTTCGCAGTCACGCAAGGCAATCAAGCTCTATCAAGCTCCGTTGCGACACACCGACGAATCGATGATTCACAATTTGTTGCAACGATTCCGCGCTCTCAAAGACCGATATATTCATGCGGAAAACCAACGTGCTTGTCCAATCACGGCGGAATGATGCGGTCACGCGGAGCCTGCTTGGCTCGGAAAACGACCCCCCCCCAAAAAAACCTCGATCTGAAACTTCGAACCTTATCAGCTGTTTTTCCCATCCAGTCTAGTCTTGTCTCGAGAAACGCGGCTCAGCTCCTCCTCCCATGACATCCCCGTCTCCAGAAGATGGCCCGGTGTCTGGCGCGGGTGCTTTCGGTAGGACCGGCAGCTTTTGGCATGAGAGCTCCTCCTTTGCTCACGGGACGTCCGACCATAAGAAATATGAAATCCGCTCATGAGACGATATTTCATGATAGCTGAGCGAGGTTTGAGATGAGTCCGTATCCGTCTCGTATCTGTATTCTCCATGGGTACGAAGTACGAATGCATTGGAGGCCAGAAAGTCCCGATCTGTTGGAGTGGGCAGTGTCCATTAATATAATATAATCCCGGTGACTCGCTGGCCCATTTAGAATCGTTCCAAACGCTGTCGGTTTGAAGAGTCCTTCGTCAAGCGGAACCTGTCACGGTCTCTGATATGAATGCTTTGTCAGAGTAGAATCCTACTTCTCCCAACTGGCCGTGCGTTCACACCGCACACACTCGTTCAGTCAAAGCATAGAATTCCACAATCGTAACGTGGAGCGTCCGCGCAGAGCTGCGGGTAGCGGTTAATACGCTTCGTCGTCGTCGTCGTCGCGTCGACTAAGTTAAATTCACATATGATTATTGCGTGAAACAGAAACTGGCAGTGCGGAGCGTTCTATGTCGAAACGATTTTTCCCCCTTTTATTGGCGATGCACCAAGCGGAAGGGCTGCATGAGCTTCTTTTGTTTCCGCATGATTACGAAAAGAGCGACAGATAGCTGAGCAGATGATTCCAGCGATCTTGAATCCATCGGCCTTTTGGATCAGTCGATTGCCACGGGTTGACACTTCTGGATTGGGCTGCGGTCCCCGTCGCCGCAATCCAGACGGAAATTCAGAAATGAGACGTTCTAGTGTCCTTCGGAGGAATGTCGACCTTAGTTAGTCGGAATTCAGCGGTGATCGCTAGCTGAATGCCGGTTCCGCTCAACTTCGTTCGATCGGAGATCGCTCCCATCGCTCTCTTACTTGTAATCTGGGAATTCTTTCGAGAATCTCTCCGAAAGCATCCTCTTCGCACTCTCGAAAGAGACGAGAGACAAGATGCGGGGTATCAATGGTGGGGTTCGATAGACGTCAGCATGAAAGGATTCAGCGGCACGCTCCTAGGGGAAGAGAAAGTCTTCAGGAATTCTGGACAACCGAGCAAAAAAAACCATTGATTCGCACGATTTTCCATCGTAGCGTGGGGACCCGTGGTTCGAAATGATAAAGGGGACCATGCCGCTACAGCTATTGTGAAGAGAAGGCTCCGCTTAGGAAGTGACCGAGGGATATCCGCTCTACAATGTTTCCATGGCTCCTCTGTCAGTCATATGTAGGCTTCATGGCACTATTTTTTTTCTCTCACTGGTGAACGAATGAGTGACCGCTTCGGGATATTCAGATACAGAAAAAGCTGTTCCTTCACCTTTTACAATTAGCGATATTGTCGGTGTACTTTTCATCGCGAGAGCTTGACCCTGGATCCACTCACAACTACTGATGTCCTTATACTAAACCCCTTATCATGCTCGATGTCAGACAAACTGCCGACGAAATCGAATGAGCGAATTTCCAAAATAATAGTTGAAGAGCCAGAATTGATTCCAATGTGCCGAGAATAATGTCTCACGAATTCTTCGATGAATCGAGGATCCGGCTAAGCGGACCTTTCCTCAACGATCCTCGCATTCCTTCAGTCGCCAAATCGAATCCGAAAATTCTGATGGCAAATCCATTCACTTCGCAAAGGAGACACCTAGACTTTCGCAAAGCGTAAGCGACTACGGCCAATCACCAGGAAGATGAACCAGTTCCTTCCTTATCTCAAAGTCGTACCACCACTCAAACCTGATGGAAATTCTGATCACTCGCATTCTCAAAGATCGGGAATCAGTCTCCACTAGCACCATCATTTTGTCGTTGTTTCTTGACTAGTATTTTCCGATAATTTCACCAATCGGAGATAACATGTGCCCAGAAACGAGTGATGTCCTTGAACTTAATCTCTCTCTCGCACTTTTTTGACAGTCGTGGTCTTGAATTCTGATAGTACGGAAATCGGGATCGCCCGTGATTCCAATCGGAGGAGCCTCCTCGACGGCGGGCTTCAAGGATCAACCTCGTCAATTCGCCCCACTCGAAATGAGGCGAAACCCAGGTCAACGGGAAAGTTTCGGAGAATCGCCAGGAATGTTGTTGGAATTAACACGGGAAGCTGAACAAGCTGAAGCAGTGATGCCTGTAACAGTTCGTCAGCTTGATTCCGATAGACGAGAGGAAACGTGAACATCTTGATGGTTTCGTCAGCACCTTCTATTGTCTCGACCGCTCGCTGCTGTGGGCCGTGGTTGGTCGACCCGGGGCCCGAACAACGCTTCCAACAACGTCGACGACGGACGCGGAGAGGGGACTTTTGTCGTCGCGTATTAATTATTTATTCAGACGACACGTCTTCGTATGTCGACAGAGTTGGCAAACACTCACACACCACGCCATATCCAACACCTTATCGTGGCGACTTTTGCACTGCCGTCGTCGTCGTCTCCGCCGCCGCCGCTACTGCCGTTGTCACCCACATCCAGACACACAAGCCACGGTCCAGGCGAGCATCGCCGTGGCTTCTTGTTCCGATGCTTCCAAGCCGTGAGAGTGATCGGTATCCGCAGTCAGGCCGAAAGGCTATCAGGCTCCCCCGCTTCCCAGTCGATCCATGGCTTGTTCTGCCGATTCCTCGCCCTAGACACGGACTGCATGATTGTGGATCTATTGCTTCCAACTTTATCACTGACATGCAATTAGACGCTTTCAATGCGGTCCTCCATTATCTGATTCCTAGAGCTGATCAAATCCAGTCAACCAGGGTGATGATGGCAAAGACGACGTTTGTTGTTACGATGACGATCTTTTATGTTGACGCTTATAGTTGGATAGGTGAACTTCAGTAAGCACTTCTGTGTCCGACGAACTATCTGAGGCGAGAATCGTCGTGATTCGATCTTATTCAGAAGCCGGAGCTTCTTCGTCTCCCTCGAGACAATGATTGCCCCGGGGCAAGGTGAGCCCTCGAAGAATAATTATCGCTATGGACTGATTCGATCAGACCAGTCGAAAACAACTCCGGATACTTCATTGAATCCGTTCCGAACGCATCATTGTTACTTCATCCACATGCGGGAAATCTCGAAATTCGCCCGTGAGCGCACTTGGGGAGTATCTACACTTCGAATGTCGTCATCCACGAATCAAGTCCACCGCAGATTCTGAGTGACGGCGAACTGGGCCGTGGCCAAATTTATTAGGAGGTGTTCCTCCGACTGAAGCGCCGTGACTCAGCCGCCAGAAAACGAAGAAGAGAAAGATTCTAGAAACTTCAGAGCGCCCACAACGATGACTTTCGGCGAAAATCGCATATTGAATCAGCTCTCTGGATGCGATTGCGAGAGAGACGAGCGCAATCGGCTCGATTGCGAATCGGAAGCTCGAAACACGTTCTTCACCGTCAGCCATCGGTAGATGTGGATGCGATTGTTCGAGGGTATTTTCCTCGAAGGCTGGCCGGCGATGATTCGGAAGCATTTTGAGGGTGATACGAGCTCCCATCGATTCGTCTTGGGACCGCCCAACCTGTCAGATCCGGAAGCGCATGGCTAGATAAACTTGACTCGAAGCGTTCTCGTTTCCCAGAGCTGAATTCGCACGCTGCGCATCGACTCGGTTGCAGAAGTATCGATCAACTGAGAATTCAGCGCTGGGAATTTGAAGAGACTGGACTGCGATACTTGCCGAAAGCCTAGCGGAGTTCCAGTAGCTGGCCACCGAATTTGGCGCTGTTCCCCCAACCTAACCAGGAAACGACTTCTGTATTTTCGAACGTAGCTTAAAGCGATTGGCTCATTACACAGGTCCCTGTTTTCACAGCGACTCTCACCGGCAACGATTCCAGACACCACCGAGCGAACTGTCAGAAAACATCGCTCCAAGCTTCCATCGTTTTCTTTTCGCCCTTGTCTGTCACTGATGCCGCCAGTCTGATCCGAATTCCGACTCGATTCGATAGTTCTCTTCCTGGGTATCGGTTCGAGTATCGCCGAACTCACTCAGTCTTGATTTCAGGGGAAAGCGGACGACGACGCATCGTGGAAACGACCCCAAAGTCGCTTGATCTCTCCGTCTGGTCGCCGTAGATTCCACGCTGGTGGATTCCCGCAATAACGATCATTGATTATTCCGCACCGCTTCAACCAGCCGTCTTCGCTGTGTTGTAACGAGATTCTACCGTGCGCTGAGCAGGGGGATTCGGATAAATGTTTCCGTATCGTCAGCGGCGTACACATTTTGAAACATGTAACTCCACTCGGTTCGACTACGAGATCGCCGAGTTCGCCACGCTGGGGTGTTCGACGTCCACGATCGCCGGGAGGAGACAGAATTTTCTCTCCAGCGGCGGCTTCTGAAAAACTCGCTTCACGCTTGAGAACGCCACCGCTTTCATGCAACGGCTCCGTTCGCTGCGATGACGACGACAAGAGATCGCTTCTACGAAAAGTCCTCACTGGAAGCTTGAGTGCTCGCTTGTTTCTTTTTTTTCGCCAGATCACTACAACTGTTGGCGAGCATTGCTATCGCTGAGTGAATAACACTTGTCAGAGATACGAAGGAGAAGGTTTTCTGTGCCTACCTACAGCGCGTGAGACAACATTCGATCCGATGGCTGCCGCAATAACGAATCTTTCTCCGGTTACACCGCGTTCGTTCGTCTCCGAGGAGATTTTTTTCTACCCAATTCTATTTCTGTTCTCGATGTTTTCATTTGCCTCTCGAGCGCGATGAAAATTTCGAAATGCAGCGAGAGCGTGTGCTCGGAAGGCAGCAGAATATCGAACCGAATCCAGACGGAACTCTGTATATTTCTTTTTTTTTTTAGTATGGGAAGTTATCCTGAGCCACCACTGTGGCCCAGACAGTTCCTCAGCCGATCGTTTGTGTGCAATGGCTACGTGGTCGATCTGCAATTCGGAATGAGAGGCAGACATGAAAACAGAGGATCTCTGCGCGAATCCGCAGATAGCCCTGGATCGTTCCGGATGTCTATGAAGCCACCCATGAAGTTCACGAAAACCACGAGGCCGGGGCCATGGTGATTGAATTCGGTATCTTGATGCATCTCAACGTCAAACCTGGAAGATGAGCCTGAATACCCGACTGCTGTGTGTCCTTAAGATGCAAAACTACTCCGCGCGATTCTCGCCCACCGCGCGGTCCCGGAAATCCGAAGACAGAATCCCCTCGGGGGGCTTTCATTGTAGGATGATCTCCGATGGCCACTCCGAGTCGATTGCAGAACTCATCAGTCTTCCGGAAGTCGCTCCGTGAGGACCGCTCTTCCAGGAGGGGTAAACGGCAAACGCGACAAAAGACTCTCGGTATACATAAGAAAAATAGGATGGACACGCGGCCACCAATTTCGATTGCTCCCCGATTACGGAAGGCAACCGACGATGTGAAGCGGAAATTCGGCTGCCGAACTCGGGTTGCAAACCAATCTCAGGAGTCCGACCGGGAATTCCGCGGCAGTCTGAATAAGAGCAGTCTGTGCACTTCTGTCCACTGACCCAGGCTGACGTCATGGTCGAGAGAAATGCCGTCTGCCTCTTTCTCGGCTGCTTTTCTTCCCTTCTGTTTACGCTGATTCTCATCAAACGAGCGTGTGATCGAGGGACGCTATCAAAGACTACTGAGAAAGCCGCGACGGCTGCATTAACGAAAAGTCAACAAGAATTACATCATCTTGCGCCAGGACCAATGAAACCTGATTCAAATTAACTCTCACAGTCTTCGGATGGACAGATGGGTTGGATAGACGAATCGACGTGGTACGCTATTGCGATGCGGCCTGTAATAACTCATCATAGCTGAGAATACCAAGAAGAACCGGGATACGAGCCGGCACGGGACGGGCTCGAGCTATGTCGAGGTTCGGAAAGCAACCGCTTGATTAGAAAAGTGGCAGTGGATAATGGATTTGGTAATGAAAGAGCAGCGATCTCTAACCTCCAAGGGTTTTCGAATCCCGCGGAGTATCTGGATTCCTCTCTAACTCGCGAATGTCCCCTTTTCCCTGGATGCTCGCCCCGATCCCATTGAAAGCGTGATTCGAACTCACGCCTGAGAAGTCATGTGCGAGTCTACACTGCTCTCGTGTCGTGTGGGGTTGATAGGCCAGATCATCTATATCTTCTGCCGTCTTCTAGATTTGCTGCTTACCCTCGAGACCGCAATGTATACATGAGATGCATGGAATATTCATCTATCCCATTTCCCCGCATTCAAGAGGTGGTTCTAAAGAACATTTCATTCATCGATGTTCCCAAGCTGATCGCTCTCTAGTATCAACGATTTTTCAATCAATGATAGATTACGCGGATTCGCCTTCCAGAATGATACGAACAGACTCTGGGTTCCCAGTTTCCTCGGCCCCTGATACCCGAGGAGACCGCTACCAAGTACTAAAAACTTAAGGCTTAGGGAGTCCCGAACCTTCATCAGACTTCTCGAGCTAAGGTTCACCATATGAGGGCTTCTCCATGCGATGAAATTGGATCTGTGGACGAAGAAGATGCGTTATTCATCGTGGCGGCATCGTTGATGCACGCGAGATTGCAGAAGATGCAGGGAGACTTTGGCAACTGAGCGATGTGAACTTCTCACCACGTTGAAGTCTGCTATTCAAGAGGACTTATATATCTATAAACGCATCCAAGCCTAACGGCTAAAAATAAGACTGGAGGTAAATTCGGCATCTAACGCTGCGTGACCTCACGTTGATGACGATCATGGAGACTACCGCACTGTCTTGTTCACAGAGTTTCTATTCTGACGAAGTCGGTTTATCTCGCGGATTGACGATTGCCCTGGAGTCTCACCCGATTCCTGATTTGCCACCGGCTCGCTCGACTCATCCCAGGCCCAGAAAGGTATTCTAGATGTTAGGATATATAGTTCTCGATCTGAGGATGAGAAGCGGCGGAATCAGTTTCGTGATGTCCAGAACCTAGAGAGCTTTCCATTGCGAGTTTTTTTTTAACGATTCGCGGTGTTCCCCGCGATACCACGAATGGTGTGGTAAGTTCATTGCAGGGAAATTCGAATACTCCTAGTCGAGCCTCCCGAGTCCCTATGGAAGTTCGCCTGCCTAAATGTCGATGTGTCTCATTGTCAGCCGGAGGGAATCCGATAGACCCGGTTCCTGCGGCGTTCGTCACAGTCAGTGTCCCGTCGTTCACTTGTTGAATCGTGGATAGCCGTTTTGTCCGCCAGTCCCTCCCATCATTCTCCCATTCACAGTTCAACGACATAGGCAGCGAAATTCACGGGGTTATGCGTGGATAGTCCAATAGCCCGTTAGTTCGTAGGGCGTATGAGGTCGCCTGAGCTGCCGGAAACCCAGAATCTCCAGGGAGGTGTCAGTTTCTGGCTAGGCGCTCATATATCTGCCGGAAAATACGAAGCAGCGAACCCTCAATGCACTCAACTAGTGGGGAGCATGAGTGAGTAAATGCCTGAACATTGAGGACTCATCAAATGATGAGGACTTAGTGTCCTCGATGACTGAAAATACATGAAGGTGTTGTCAAATATTCTTCGTAAGAGATATTGAGGAGATCCCCCGAGGCTTCATCGATCTACTCTCCATCGCAGCAAGAAACCTTGTCCTCGGGGCAGAAAAACATCGAGAACGTATTACCGATTTCTTTTCGATTAAGTTTCCTGCTGAGGAAGACAGGTATCTGAAGGCACGTGCCAGGTGCCACGAGACTCAATGATCTTCGGCACAGGATCCGCCGACTGTGCGTGATGTGCGCCGACCGAGGTGCGAAAGCCTCTCGTGAAGAATATGACGTCAGATAAAACCACATGAGCGCCCTTTCCCGGCTTGCTTTCCGTCGGGCGCGATATAAACGCGCGTCAGGCCAGTCGGTCCGCAGTTGTGCAGCTTGTGTGCATTGGAGTACCAGACAACAATTCAACTATCAGAACACAGAATCACTCGGCATGAAGGTCTTCGTCCTTGCTGCTTTCGTGGGCCTCGCCTTGGCCGCCCCCCAGGCTCAACAGGGCGCATCTGGTGGCGCCCCCAAAAATCCTGTAAGTTGATCTTGCCGCTATAGATCGACATAAATGCATGCATACGAACATATCTCCCACGGAATCGCTCAAACAAACTGGGGATCTGATCTACTCTGCTGAGTGCGATTCCGACGAGCTCCCGGGGAAAGCTTCGCGGCACTTTGTAGCGAGGTCGTCATTTTTTGTGGTGGCTATCGAATTCTCGGGACGCCGACGCTGCACGGGTGTCTGTCAATGGATGCTGCCCCCACGGTTCTTTTACCCTATCGCCGAGAGTTGGACGGCTGTCAGTATCACTCGGCTTTCGTTTCTCTCACTATATTGAGCCCTTTCCGAATAATGAGACCATCGGTAGCTTGTGAGTGATAGCGCTTGATTATAGAAATATTCCCGAAATGGCCTTGGCGTCTCGTGGCTGTCTCGCGTGCTCGCTCACTCTTCTTCCGGAATAAACCATGAATTTTGCCGACATGAAAACTGATCTAGACATAATCATAGCGATCATTTTCAACAATAAGGGTTGTTGACTTGTGTTCTATGTTCCTCGTCTACATCGTCGTTTATACAAATGCCTATTTTTCCAGATCATCGAGTGGGGAAAATGCAACCAGCTCAAACCTTCCGAGGGCGAACGTGTGAGTACCTTAGGCCGGCAGAGATCCTCTTCTTGCGCCGTGAGGTCGACTGGTCATCTCGAGACGGCTCTTGGTTAGAGCGTGGTTAACTGCGCGAGCGGATCGTTTAGAAACAAACCATTTCCTCATTACAGACCAGCAAGGCGGCCGTTGTTGACAAGTGTTTGCAGCAGCTTCCTCTGCCCGATCCCGAGAAGGCCAGCCAGGCGGAGATCGACAAGCACCGTGAATCAGTCACCACCTGCGCTCTGAAAGCCGAAGGATGGTTCGACGACAAAGGTGTCTACAAGTTCGACCGCGCGAGGAACGAGATCAAGAACAAGAAACTCGACTCGGAAATCGAATCTCAAGTGCTCGTGAAGCACGACGAGTGCCAGAAGGAGGCTACTGAGAAGCACACCGATTTCATCAACCAGGTCCAGCTCTACCAAGCCTGCATGGACTACAACATTTCCCAGATCTGTGGAATCAAGGTCATGGTCTAAGTCACGGAACGAGATAAGGAGAAAACACACAATCAGACACACAGACCCTTTCAATTACATCAGAAAGGGTGACAGGCCAGCGAAGGAGAAAGTGGTAGATGACCGCATCAGCCTGTCCTTCAATCAAACGGTAGCAATCCAAATATCATTCGATCTCCCCATAGTACTCTTCCTTCTTTTACCTCAGAATCACGGTTCATGTACTTTTCAAGTATGGAGGCTCCTTTCCTCTCTTTGTTGACTAGTTTCAAAGCGATCAGTGATAACGATGATGATTTAGAGAGAAACCAATATAATCCATCAACTCTCATAGCTTCGCTCAGGATCCGGCCTTCCCATTCAAAATCGGCATGAACAGTCTTCTGTCAGAACGATATCTGTCCGCTCCACTTAGTTGTCTGCGCAGGTCAGATATCGGATCTGTATGCTCTCAAAACCTTTGTAATAAATGTTTTGTTTGTATAAACTTACATTGGTCCCCGAAGTTCTTCACCCCTCAAGCGGGAGCTATGTGATTATCTGCAGAGCAGCTGTCAATTGATACGACTTCTGAAAAACCGCCCGGCGTCTGCTACGTTCTCGGAGATCGGGGTCTCATGGAAGCGAGGCTCGATGACGGGGGCCGACACGAATAAAATTCCACCTCTAATTCATCGATTTTTCTCATTTGACTCCCACGCGCAGTCAAGATAATATCCCCCAACGAATCTGCAGAAACTTGGACTGCGTATGAAGGCGATTCTAGGAGACCGTCGGGGCTCTTTCGGATAATGGAGCGACATCTGCCGAACCTTCGAAGAAATCTCCCAATCAATGCCTAGTGATCTCTAATAGAGACCCGAATAATCTTCATCCTCGTCCTTGTGGCCAGATTCGTCAATCGCGTCGCGTCCGATTAAGGAATTCGAATTCTCCGCAATCTTTTTGAAGATTTACCAGACGGCTGTGACCGCGGAAGTCCCTCAATCCTCAAGGCTCCCGGAGTGCGGAACAGTCGGATTTTCAACCCCTGCCCAATCCATCATGAATGAGTGCGTTAGCCGAGTACGAGATGGCATCCGATCATTTCCCTCATCCCGTATTGGAGTGCAGATCTCTCGTGTGTAGAAACGTTCTGCGAGCGCGGTTGACGCCGTGGATAGATCGCAAACAGTCTGTGAGTCCCACTAGCTAACAATGAGCATTGTCAGAGCCACAGCGGTGTTCACCGCAACGGTGACAAAAACAACAAAATCTTCAGAGCATCGTCCGACGAGCAATTACTGCAGTATTGCCAACCTTCATCGCCAGAAGCTCCTTGGAGCCGACGAGCTGTAGTTGTTGTTGTTACCCTTGGGGACGCCATCACGCCCTATGCTCACCAGTCTGAGAAATTCTTCCTCAACGATCTCTCAAAAACGCGACCACCCGACTGTAGCTTCGACGAACACACGGAGTCCGCCGGAATCCTGACGATGATGATTATTATTGACTATTACTAAGGCTGCGCGTTCCATGCACGGAACAATGCGAGCTATTCAGAAGAATACGCATGAAAATGACACGCACCATAGAAAGGGCGTCATTCCCATCCACTTCATTGGTGAGGTTGGCAATGAGCACGAGAAAATGAAATGCGACAGCTTGAAAGTTGCAGCATGCATGGAAATCCTGAAACCATCGAAAATACGGCATGGCAAAGAACGCACAGCCCTACTGATTTCACATCGGATCTATGAATGGTTCGAGCAGTCTCAACCGAGATTAGCGGTCTCGACGGCGCAGCAAGCGGTTCCTCATCTCTGTGGTAGGGGTCCTATTTTGGTCAATTCTCGTGATCTTTTAGCATGCTTTGTTTTCGCAGCCGAAGCCGTCAGGAGAATGCGACTTCCAGACGCGCTGTGATATGCTCGCGCCGCATGGCGATTGCGGTGGAGGACTCCGTGGCATCTCGCGATCGGGGGCAACCTAGTTGTTAGGCATGTATTGTGTCGATTCGAGAATCATGAGTTGCTGGAATATATCTGCCAGCAGACCCACCCCTTAGTGCAGATAGCTCGTGAATTATGATGATACAAAGCAAACGATGGAAGATTTGAGTCTCACAGAACCAATTTTACTCAATGAACCTCAGCAGATTAGAGAAAAAGAGTGGTATCTGTTTCGCGGAATGCTCTCATTCGGATACGGCTGTGCACCACGCGCCGGCGAGAAGAATGATACGGTAGCGCAGGCCTTACGTCGAACGCGTGATGAGTACTGCGAAGCGCGACAGAGCGGATCTCAAGAGAGCGATTTCGAGAAATACTGGGAACCGAAGTCTTCTCGCCCGACGATAATAGCTGAGGGGAGGGGAGATTCGCTGCCCGCAATTCAGCTAATCCTCGATGACCGCGGATCCTTGCATGGGAGTTGCCCTTTCCTTCCTAGAGGGGGTGGGGGAGAGGGCACGTCGGCATTGGGAGTCCGTCCAATGGAAATATCGACCCCTTCAGACGGGAATTGTTCATCGTGCCCCCTCGCTCTGCGACCTTATCACACATGACATACTTATCGTCAATCACTTTTATTCCCGGACTCCGAGTCATTCCGAAGCCTGGACGTAGATACGGAATCGAGGCTGATTTTAGGCGCCATGGTGGATTTTCTCGACCCTGCCCCACAGCTTGGCCCCTTTCGTCTAGCTCCTGATCAGGGACAGTTGAAATCTTCGACGAGATAGTCCGGGTGCGTATTCCAGTCATAAGTGGGCCTCTGTCGCTTCGGTCACCTATTCACTCACTCAGTCAACAAGCAGTGGCGTGCCGCTCGATGAGTAAGGGAGATGTTTAGTCGGAAAGACGAGACAGTGCAAACTCACGGCCTCTCTCGAAGTGAATATATTACCTTCGTTATGTACTCTTTCGCTGTCGACGCCGAGGCAGGCTAAGAGATTGGTCCCGGTATAATTATCCACGAAGACTATTTGGTGTCATCCAGCTTCGCAAACTCCGGCCTGCGAAACGGATGATGAGGTCTTCGAGTTCCGGGAACGGGGCTGGAGACTGGAAACTCCACTCTTACCGCCTTCCGAGCTCAAAGGAATTTTTCATCTTAATTCTAGGACTCGGTTCCCACCGCCCCGAGGAAGAACCGATACGAAAGCGCGGGCCCAGTCTCAGACAACCTACGCGACTTTTCGCTCGTTCTCGGGTCCGAATCGGGCGAGTCTCGAGGAGAATTTCCCGAGAGTTCCTCCCCTTGTCCTGGCTTATTCGCGCGAATCGGAATTTCGATTTGAATGAAAAATGAATTGAACTCCGCTGTTTCCCGTCGTTTCCTCTGTTTTAATCCCCTTGGGCAAATACCGCCAATGGTCAACGCGTGAGCTTCCCCTTGATATGAAGGTCGGTGGGAGACCTGAATCGGAATGAATTTCTAGCCGCAGCTGTTCCCCCGAGACTTCAACGGGAATAGCTGTCGCGGAATCGGAATTGTGAGGAGTAATTCCCACATGGACTAATGTTTATCCACGTCGTCGACCGAAGCACCCTGGAGCCTATCGTCTAGCTTGCTTCATCGACATAGACCCCTATCACGGATAGGTATCCGGTTTTAGCGAGAAGAGTCTGGATAGATAATAGGAGAGTATAAATAAACATTTGGAATTGCGCGGGCCCAGAGAGGGCTCCATCTCGCGGTAGCCGTCGGCTGGCGCCTTCTCGTTAGTGAGTTTGAAAATCCCGACGGTTCCACATTCATTTTCCGTGTCTTCCAACTTCGTCACAGCCCCCATCACCCCTTGCCCTCTCGGATCGATCACGACGAGAGCTTAATCAGATTCCGTGACCGTGGACCTGAATTCCCGAGGATTTGTATCGTGGCGCTAATCATGGTATCGAATGACTGCAGGGGAAAACATTGGTCGTCGGCAGGGCTTGTTCGCGGCGCTCTGTGATCATTGAGCGAGAACAGACTTGACGCATCCCTCGGGGAAGCGATAGTGCGGACTTGGGGATGAATAAAAAAGTATATCGTTTGGAGTGAATAGGCGTCGCATGGGGCCCTGTGCTAGAGATCTCGATCGAACACCAGAATATCCACGGATTTGAGCCCTGCGATGATCAGTGAATTCGTGGGAGGCCGGAGTTTCCGAGCGAGGGCCTCAGCATAGCATCTTCCGAATCTGACGAGGGCGGCTCCACGTGCGGTTGCGCCCGAATAATGTATCGATTCATATATGTCTTGAATGTCGAATAATGTATTATTACAATATTATAATATCATCAATGCGATCAGATCGCAGTCCAGTCATGAGAAGTCAGACTGGTGGGACTAGCGACGAGATGGGAACGCTGTGAGTTCCACGATTCGACCGAAGCTTTTTTAAAAGAACCAGGAGAAGAGTCCCAATTTCGGGTGTCTCCTTGTGCGGTACAATGTTTTGCAAAAGTTCTGCTTCGACATACATATATGCCTGGAATGAAACTTGCCTTCGACGTGGCGGTCGCGAAAATCGCCCTACAGAGGAATGCCCATGTCATGCTCCGTTTCCGAACGGTGAGATCACCCGCACAACTCGTGCACGCACCCTGCGACACGGGACAAAATCCTCGTGCCCTCGTTGTTGCGCGGCGAATCTGCAAGACCGGCCCGCTCTGATGACCGATGATGATATAATCGGGTTCAATCCTCAGCTCATCGGCCGTTCCCCAATAGAGCGAGAATGACTGCGCGGGAGTATTCTTCAATATTCTATGCTTGTTTGCTATCTATTCTCCAGGCTCGTAGGGATCTCGTCGGATTCTGAGGGGGTTCCCCGAACAGACTTGGACCCGAAAGGCCCATCATACCAAATCATTCCTAAGAGTTGATACGAACCTACGTCGTGCAGCTCCGGTCATCAGCCGGCATTTCTTAGGCTCGTTCCCGCGAGTTTGCGGAGCTCGATGCGAGTCAATCCCCTCAATCCTGTCCTTGAAATATACAATCTGACATTTCGCTACTCTGGTCCTCCTTGCGTGCATCGAATGCACGCAGCCCAATCAATCACACACGCGGCAACGATGCCCAATCGGATTAAAGTGCTCGATACCGATTGGAGAATGGTCGGAAGGGGGGCAGAGTTCCGATCGGACCCCGAATGTTCGCGTTTCCTGCGACATTCTCTCTCCGATTCTTCAGTCCCAGCGATACTCTGCAACATTTTCCTTGGGAAGCTTTGGCAGTTTCTTGCTGATAGATGGTCCCTCGCGACCCGACTCGGAAGTTGCCTCGTTTCCCTCGAACCTGACCAGAGGCGCTCGGGGGGAGGGCCCCAGCCCCCGAAATTCTAAAGCATGGATCACGGAGAGGCGCGTCATCGTTCCGCCCCCCCCAAAACTCGAGTGGCGTCCTCCCATAAAATCCTGTGCGCGCCCCTGAACCCGATTCCGCGTACGGCTCCGGGAGGTTATCGATATCATCTTCCGGGCGCGCCACGGACAGTTTACGGGAGCCGTACTTCCAGAGC